TCGTGGAACCCCAAGGCGCTGCTCAGGGCTGCACTGTGTCCCTCAGAGGGCCCGTGTTGAAACCCCAGCCCAGGTGTGACGGCACTGGAGAGTCTTTGTGGAGGCACTGAGGGGGGACCCCAGTGGGCTCCAACTGGTGTCCCTGCAGGAACAGGAAGTCCAGGCGCCCACAGGCCCAGAGGGAAGACTGCGGACAGGGAGGAGGCGGCACCGGGAGCCAAGGAGCAGCCTGGAGCCATCCTCCCTGCAGGCCCTGAGAAGGAACCAGGCCCTGGGCACCTTGAGCTGGGACTCCCGGCCTCCAGAACTTCTCTTGGTCTGTGCACTTTGCTAGCGCAGGCTGATGAGCACATGCGGATGCTGTGTCAGAGGCCGGACTAAGCATTAAATGAGATGTGGGCTGCCTCAGGGTCATCCCCAGCTGCCAGCCAGCCTGCCCGACAGCCCAGGGAGACCAGCCATTCCCAACCAAGGCAGTGGGGTGGATGGATGTGCACCAGCAGCCAGGTGCGGCTGCCTTCAGTCTCCTCCTACCCATCAGCCTGTCCTTCTGCCACCGTGAGGCTGCACCCGCAGCTTCCCAGCACCCACCTGAGTTCCTGTAAGCCGCAGTGGGGGTGCAGAACACCTCCGCTCAGGAACGCCATGCCGATATCTCCTATGTTGTTGCCCCCGACATCCAGGCTTCTCAGGTTTGGGTTGCTCTCAAGGACAAGAGCCAGGACCCGACAGATCTTCAGAGTGATCCCGCACCTCTGCAAACTGTATGGCAACAGCCAGCACAGAGACCTGTTATCCCAGGCACCTCCCGAGGCCTGGAGGAGGCCGAAAAGGCTCAGTATAGACTAGGCGCAGGAAGAGAAGAACCAGAACTAAGAACCACTACAAGCATGTCCTGGAGGAGAGTGTGATGGTCCCCTTCTTTGAAGAACCAAGAAGAAGAAATGAGGTGTGGAGGTGACCGAAGCCTGGGGCCCTGGGGACAGCTGTACTGCTCTCAGGGGGTACACTGCAACATTCAAGAGGCATCAGGACAGAGGCCAAGTACCACAGCCTGAACCCCAAGGACCTGCACAGTTAGATTTCATAATGAACGTCTTCCTTCACCAGGTCGAGGAAGTACCTAAAAGATCATAATTTTCCTAGAGTTATACTAAAGGGATAGTTCTGAATGCCGACTTTGTCTTTTAGGCAGATTTTTACTTTTCTAAGCATCTCCTTTGGGAGGCGGGGAAGGGCCCAGGGCCCTGCAGCTGCCCAGCCTAAACTCTGTCTGCGAGCCCCACCCTTCCCCTGACCTTTCTGATGCTGGGACAATTCCCTCAATAGAGTTTTGGAATTCGCTTACTGCAGGGCTCCTTAGTGCCTCTGCATTTCACGGACGGCACTACACAGCACTTGTCCTTTCCCACCTTCCAGCTGTCGCTGCTGTCAGGACTACCATGTCCTCCAGTGTCCGTGTGGGGCTCTCTTCTCTTTGCCCTCTACAAGGACTCTGACAAAACTGCTCTTCCATGAGGGTTTAGTGAGAGTCGCTGGTGCAGGCTTCTTTCTAAGCCACACTGGGCGGCTGATCTCGTTGTGTGCATGGTTTGGAAGCTTTCCTGCTTCCCTGCAGCCGAGCACTGGACGGCAGCTCCTCTGTCCCGAGATGCGCCAGAGTGTAAGCCAGGTAGAGTCTCAGGACAGAAATGTACAGAGCCTCACTGATTCTTGTGTGGATTACATACTGGAGCCACAGCACTTGTTACACGGGTAAGTAAGCTGCATTAACTGGTTTGGGACTTGACACTGAACCCCCAAGTAGTTAACCACTCAGCCACTTCCCCAGCCCTTCTTATTTAGAGACGGGGTCTCACTGAGTGCTTAAGGCCTCGCTCAGTTGCTGATCAACTCCTGATCCTTGAGCCTCCTGAGCCGCTTGGATGAGGAGAATGTGCCACCACGGGATCCAGCTAGTCAACTGATTCAACTTCCCTGCTCAATTTCACCTTTGTGTACTGCAACTCCAACATTTCACACAGCATGCAGGGCCGGCACCACACTCTGCGGGAGAAGGTGGACACAAGTGGCCCTCTGCAGAGAGCAGCAACGAACTTACACTCTTCTGGCCCTTTCGGCTGTCGGTGCCACCAGCTTCTTTATTTCTCTCCTGTTCCCTGCATCTCTGTGGTTTGGCAATTGAGACAATGTTGAGCTGCGCACACTGGCTCACGCCTGTAACCCTAGGGGTCTGGGAAACCAAGGCAGGAAGATCCCAAGTTTGAGGCCAGCCTCGGCTATTTGGCAAGACCGTCGTCAATTTAGAAAGTCCCTGTTCTTGGTCAAGAACAAGTTTTAGAAGAGGACTGGGGTGTAGTTCCGTGGCTGAGCACCCCTGGGTTCAGTCCCCGGTACCTCTTGGGCACGTGTCCCCATCGTTGGCCACTCTTTCTTCCATTAGTTCTAACCCACTGCGCAAAGCATCTATGAGGTGAACACAGACCCTCATCTCTAGGTGTTCCAGTATCTGCTAGTCCACGGGGTCCCTGTTCCTCAGAGTTGAAAGGTGATCTTTTGTTGAAGCAGAACACTCAACGGTTTGACCCACGAGTCTGAGGTTGGGGGACCTCTCTCTTGTCTTCTCGCCACTGTTCCTGATCTCCTTGGAGCTTAGGTTCTTTTCAGTGGGTTGAATTTATTGACCTTGGAAGATCTATTTGGAGAATGTCAAGGTCACAGCTCAGGTCCCCCATCATCTGCCCCCACAGAAGATTGTTCCATGGATTTTTACAGGGGTCTGGCCCACAATGGTTTGGGATTCTTGATTTTTAATCCAGTCTGAAGGATTTGGGGAGAACCTCACGCGTCATCTAGGTCGATGCTCTGCCCACCACAGGGCCCTTCCCTGGGTCACCATGCCTACGTCCCTGAAGGACCTGCCCCAATATATGCATCTGAGGTTCACAGGAGCATCTCTACCCGAACCTCAGCCTGAGAGCCTTCAGCCTTCCTGGGAAAGGCACGGACACTGTCCTTCCTGAGCAGGGTGCCTCCCCAGCCAGGGGCAGGGCCTGGCCACCAGGCCACCCTCCACGGCCTACCTCAGTGTCTGCAGGCGGCAGGTGGGCTGTCGCAGGGCCTCACACAGCTGTGCCACTCCCTCGTCCATCAGGGGGTTGCTGCTGAGGTCCAGATGGCTCAGGTTTGCATTGCTCAGGAGAACCTCAGAGAAGTGTGGGCAGGAGTTCTTATTGAGCTGGCAGCCGGCCATCCTGCGGGGGAGGCAGGGGACAGCAGTTCACGTGAGGGCCCAGGTCCCAAGGATGGCTCACCTGCACGCTCAAGGTGGTCTTTCTGTGGTCCTATGTATGAACTCAGTGGGACCCAATCTCCCCTTTGACTGCTCCCTACCCACATGAGACAGGCAGGAGGAACCAAACCCACACAGAGCCTCATGAGAAAACCAGGGGTGAGAGGCACAGCTCAGATGCGAGAATCTGTCAGTTCTAGTTCCGACTCTGCATCTCACCCCGCCCTGGGACAAGCCTTCTGCCCCCTGAGGCTATTGCCCAAAGCACTGGTGACAATCAGGGTGAGGGGCATGGGTCATCTCAGGTACCAGATCCTCAGCTTGTCAGGTTCTCGAGAATCCTAACAGGTTCTAATGGCTTCTTAGAAGGAACGCTCTGCCACTTTGGGAGAGCCAGGGGTACAGGAAAGAATAGAGCAGAGGTGGCAGCGGGGTCCCCACAGGGGCCGCTTCTGCTCCCATTCACAGAGGGGCAGCCCGCAGCCGGGAGGCCCACTGACTGCAGGAGAGCAGCAGACCCTGGACCTCGAGCCGTGGAGCCTCAGCTGGTGCCCTGAAGCCCTGCTGCGGTCTCAGCTGGTGGACAGAGCGCAGAGACCCGGGATCCTGCGTGCCCCTTGCCCACCCCAGTCCACTTACACTAGCGTCTGCAGGGTGCAGTCTGAGTGGCGCAAGGCCGTGCACAGTGTGGGCACACCCTCAGCCAGCTTGTTATCACTGAGGTCCAGCAACGTCAGCTTCCTATGGTTCGCCAGCATCGAGGACAAGGCCTTGCAGTCCGGAGCAGAGAGGCCCGAATCCTGAAGCCTGCAGGGAGGAGACACCACATGCTCTGGGCTTCCCTGCCTAGACTGGCCCCTGGTGCTAGTCCTGCCAGGGCCTGTCCTTCACGGAGCCTCCTGGGGAATCCTGTCATCACCCCAGCCCCCGTCTGCACAGCTTGGCCCAGACTCAGTCACTCTGTGCTTACCCACCAAGTCACTTCCCCGACCCCAGGGCAGCCCCACACAGGATCCTTGTCCTGCGAGGCCCCTCCTGCTCCCCAGCCTGTGCCTCCCACCACACCAGGCAGTCTTCCTGGAGGACTCAGGATGCTGTGCCCAGCACGTCCCCTTTCCAACTACTGCCCCACTAGGGTGGGGTTGGCGTTGCTCAGGGAGAGTGCCACCCTCCTCCCCAGCATAGGTGATGTCTCCTAGATAGCATCCCACGGAGGAGTTGAGCCTGAGCGGGGGGTCTCTGACTGTAGTCGTGACTCCCATCTCGGGGGCTATCCCTGCACATGGGCACACACATGCACTAAGCCCTGAATGACAGAATGGACACATTCACAGCCTACACAGGTGCACGTCAATGCAGGTATGAACGCCAAGACTCTGACCACAGCCCTGACATTTCCCCAGGGTGATTCTGCAGCAGCTCCTGGGTCTAAAGATGCCTGTGGCTTCAAGATATTTTCAAGAAGTGAAAACAATAGGATTTGGCCCACATCATACCCTACCTCCAAATTAATTCAAAATGGATCACAGATTGAAACCTCAGAGTCTAAATGATTGGGCTGGGGTTGCAGCTCAGGGGTAGAGCCTTTGCCTATCATGTGTGAGGTTCTGGGTTTGAATCTCAGCGCCACCTAAAAGTAAAAGCCCATCAACAAGGAGAACACATTAGACCAAACTTCCCAACAACGAAAAAGTTCAGAAAATGATCTGAGACCTTGGGGTAGGCGATGGTCTCTCGCAGGCTACACAAAACATACGGGAGAGCACAGAAACAAGAGGTGGTCCCTGAGACCGTACAGAGCGGGGCTGTGTGCCAACCAGACGGCTGGGCTCCCACATCGCGAAGCCTGCACCCACAACGCAGAGGAACCCTCTGGACTGCGCAACAGAGACCACTCGCTCCAAAAGCGAATGCTCGGGTGAGGGTGGACGTCCCTCCAAGGAGACACACAGACGCCCAGGAGAAAGCAGGACAGCATGGGAGGGCGTCA